TTTTTGACATTAGACTTGACAACTAATACGTCAATCATTCTGTTCGATTGAAACAGTAGAAATTTAATAAATACCAATACCGTTTTATTGAAGACGGAATAGAGTTTTCCCGGTCAGCTATACCTATATTACTAATGACGAAATTAACGCGGACGAAGTCGCGGGCAAAAACTAGTAATGAATAAATTATTATCAGCAAACGAAACTATGCTTTTTGCCTAAGAGAGAACTCTTTTTGGAGTTTATTAATAGTTTCATACGCTATAACATTGATATAATTACCTGTTTAAGTTGAGGGTGATCAAATGGAATTAATTGAGATGACGATGTCATATTTAATCTTCAGGCAACAACTTTAATCTCTGTTTACTGCTTCCATAGCACCTGGTTTTAACTTTAAACACCAAGGATTTAATGCAGAATACATAAAAAAAAAACAAACAAACCTACTAACACATTTGACAACAGAAATAATAAAATGAAATTTAGCATTTTTGTTTAAACAATTTTAATATCCATATATATAAATAAGGACTCCTATGTATTATACATTCACAAATAATAAGGAAATATGAAATACTTCAATTATTAAACATTCTGGGACGTTATGGAACATTGATAGAAAATGAATCTCAGTTTCCTAATATATTCTTAAATCCATATTAAATAAATCCCATTTCAGGCTAACACCTCAAACGACGCTGTAAGTCTTATTTTATATGGCTTACATAATAGAATGTTTATATTAAAAATATGTAGTTAATTTTAAAAATATTAATTAATTTAAATAACGAGATATACATATGTATGTTTTGTAATGCGGATATCGGTTGTGAAGCCTTATAAAACATAGTACACCGGTTACACCGACGGAAGCGGTTCCCATTTTAACATATGCGGAGATACAAAAGATAAAAAACAATTATTATCAAGAGCGCTTACTCTTTTATATCCTTATTTATAAAAAAAAAACAATTGTTCTAAGCCATTACAGTAAACTTATATCTTCAAAGTTATTATACATCGTGTGTGACACATAATTAGGACGTTACACGGAAACACGAGACACATCACAATAAATCACCTTAAATTCTTTTTCCAAAAAATACAGAAGTGAGTGCGGGGCCCGCGAAAATAATTGAATTTCAGATTCCAGACGCGTTAAGCCGCTGAACCGTTCAAGTGTGCGTAATATGTTCATAAATGATAAATCATTGTCACCCAAATATCTATGACCAAGATGAAATATCCAAAAGAATTTTATGATTTTAGTTTACATGGCAAACGATGAATTCTCCTCTAACATTAAATATTATTTATAGGAAGAAAAAAAGTGTGACAAAAAATAAGCTGAGTAATAAATTTCAAAGTTGACGTTAAAAAATCATCAATTCTTAACAAATACTTATTACTATATGCTGACCTAAAACAAAATATTATTGTAAATATTTATTTATCTTTTTTTATGAATATGTTTAGATAGAATGCAATACATAGCATAGAATCTACATTATGATGAAACATTTATAAATTATTATTTTTCATGCAGTCGCTACACAAATTTCTTTTTAATGGAAACGCTATGTATGACAGTCTTTAAATTAAACTATTCTGACTTGGACGCCCGGGATTATGAGGCCTTTGTAATATTCTTGTTTAAAACTTCCATCATAGCCGTAAGACTATGCATAAACTGAATTTAAATATGACTTGAAGAAACTTGTGTTGATAGCTGACGAAGCACTGGCTAAAATAAACTTTGTTTACACATTTCATATTTAGTTTTATAATAAAATATTAATAATGTTTTGAAAATTTTTAATGAATAGTTGTAATTTTATTAGTTTTATTGCTTTATTGCTGACATAACGGATAGGATTCGGGGCAGCATGAACGAAATAAGATTCTATGCTTCGTTCCGCCTGACTGCCATTGTACTGAATACGTGCTGCAAATACTGTGAAGATACTCGATTTCAAGTGTACACTATAATCCTCCGCATCATTGCACTTAGACTACAGATCAAATGCTTCGGTATTAGTTTTACCTTGTTAAAAATAAAATACCTATGATATATGTGTATATTGAAAAGTAATAATAATATTGGTATAATTTTAATGATATTGTAATAAAACATTTTCAAATTGTATTGAATATCAACAGATATTTGTTATCAACAATTATTAAATTTTTTTTAACGCGTATATAATTATAGAACATTCAATGTTTAATATTTTTACTAGATAAGTTGTAAAAATCTTTATAAGAACAAAATAATCAAAGTATAATTTACCAAACGTATATTTAAAACATATATGTAAATATAGAAGTATAATTCTAATAGATATGTTGGTAGACATCAAATATGAAGTTAACTGTGGTATAATTATGTATGAAATTTATATGGAAGTACGTTCAAGGAGATTTTTGGTTCCTAATGAAAAGTTTCGACTGTACGCAGTCATTTAAAAAATTCAGAGAGCTGAATTATTAACGTCAAGCTACTTTGATCGCATACTTCTGTGGCTTTTAACGTTTTTGTTAAACAATAGTTTGGACCATTTTTGATTACGAAACATTTAAAAAAAAATGAAAGTATACCGAGTTGAGAATTATATGTATATCATAATGTTATTGTTATCCAAACTTAAGCGGTATAACATGGAAGATTATAAATATAAATATACTCTAATGCAAATATCTTCGAAATATTATGGTTGAGATTTATATCACACAAAATGATCATCAAATAAAATAAAAGCCGACATTTCTTCGTACTTGAGGTGTGATTTTCAGTCCTTAACTCGAAGCATGCACAAAGGCTTAGAAAGCGCATCTCAATTCCTTTGTTTCAGTGATACGCTTAACCAGCATGCGTCTACATATAAAATATGCTTGCAGTCTTGTGAGTAATACAAAGTTTTTGTAATGAAAAGGATGCACGCTCTGCCACGCTTGCCTTTTAATGTATTTTTTATAAAGAGAATTGGAATTCAAATATAGACGCTTCTGCTTAAAAATTATGAAGGAAGTGTTCATGTTTATCCATTGAAGGCTACAAGAAAAAGAGCCAACTTCTTTTTTTATTCCTATACTGTTTTTTTTATCATTTTTGGCAACAGGTTTAAACAGAAAAAAATAACAATCCTGCACAAAACAAAAAGTCGAGCAACTGTCGTTTTAAACCAAACGTAAGATAATATAGCTTCTTCACATATTGCACACAGGTAACGGTTTTTTACCGATGCGGAACGTTGCGCACGCGCCTCCGTTACGCTTACGATTCCACATATGTCTTAAGATCTTGTCTTGCTCACTCTTATTACGATAATAAGTATTCCGTCCCTTTTTTGTAACAAGTACACGCTCCATGATCCTTTTGTTTGCTAAGCAAGCACTTCTCTTTTTAACATAGCAATTAAGCGCGTGCTGTAAAACGAAATATTCTTATGAATTTACAATTTGAGCGTTTTAAGCGTGATTATATGTTCTAATTGAGGTATTGTATTCGAACAATATGGGTGGTTACAACATGTGTTAATGTATTTTGACTTCTTTTTGAGGTGATGGAATTTCATAACGATTGCATATTGATGCATATCTGACTATTTTTCATTAAAACCTACATGAAGTTTTGATATTCATTTAAAATAATTATATCGCTTTAAATTCATATTTTAAAATTCATTGACTTCAACAAACACATCCGTTTATTCCAGTAAGTTACAGTATGACTACTATTGAGAGTCAGGACGTATTATTATTTTTTCTGTTCCTGAGGGTGATCAGTGAACCGTTGTGCAGGTGCCGTGCAATACTCCCGATTCTTTAAGCGATAAACTATTTTGTATTTTGTAGTTATAAGTTTAAATTCAAATAGCATTCAAACTAAAATAATATATACCGATAGCTTCAAACGTTTGTGTTATTTCAGTTTTGTTATATAAAAAATAAATAACCTTGATATACATAAATGTGGTATTTCTTGAAAAGAACAATGCATGCGTGTTATAAAATATTCATAGCAATAACTCATCGTATAACTTCAAGTTCTGTTGTCAGAAATATCTACTTGCATTTATATTTGAAACAAAGGGAGTTTAAGGATAAAAGATTACGTTTAAAGAATAATCGAACGAAAGTTACAAAGAAATATTAAAGCAATCAAAAATCAGTCCTGGAAAATATAGATACCTAGTAGTGCGCAGGTAAATCAGCGGAACTAAGTGCGGGTACTGGCTCGATGTAGCTGTCTCACATAAAGTATATTATCTAAGTTACTAACCATGACTACAATATCTAAAGTGGCCGGAATACCATTATTTTGAGCTCCGTTTAATTCATATCATGCTTTGTTACAAAGCTTTCTAAATAGTTACAAAATAGCAAAATTAAAAACAACACTCACATCTCGTCTGCCCGTGATCATGGTTGCAGAAAAGTAGCCGAAACGTCACGAATATGTAGTTTATAATCAAAAATAAAAAACGCGAAGTAAAAATCCGAAATTATTAGTTTCATTTAAATGAGTACTCGCGAAAATCTTGGATCTCATTGAAATTAAAAAAAATGCGTTATAATAATATTTAAAATGTAGGTGTTATTTATAAAAAATCTATGTTTAATTTCCCATTATCCTATAAATTATCTACAAACAAGTAAGCAACAAACCACTACAATAGAAATAACTTCAAGAGAAACGGAAAAATCAATTCCACACTGATAGGACCTCGAGGCAATATATATTGGTATCGATAAAAATATTCCTGAAAGATATATATCGCGACATTCAATTCACTGTCAGATTATTACAAGAAGAAATAGCTAAAAAGTTAACACGTAATTTCCATGGATAGTTGAGAATTATTGAAAACATTTTTGTTGATAATTATTTGTTTCATCTTCATCTAATCACATATCAGAGCCTTAAGATTTTATTAAAGTTATTTTCTTTATACATGTGTTAGTCTATTTTTATATAATGGTATAAATTTAATAACATGCTCATAACGTTTGGTATAGATCCTGTTCTAGTAAAGCTATATAAACCAAATCTATGTTGTTTGTTGGATGTGAACTTAAACTAGAACAATTATTATTTATAATTCCAAGGACCAAAGTCCGTTTTTATCTAGTTTTTTCTAAACCAAACCAACAAATTATTTTAACAGATAAACAATTTAGCTAAAAAATCTGTTACTATTACTAAATTTGTTTCAAAGTAAACCTTTAAAAGATATTAATTTTATTGGTTGGCGCTACTTGCCTTCCTTCGGATTACCACTGTTTCCAAGAAATGATGGAAACATACCTTGACATTTATTAAAACCTTCAAGTCAGGGTTTTGCAAATACCCCGCTGACTTATAATCGATTACAGTCTTTTAATTTGTTACGTTTTACTCTGGATACATCTTTCTGTTTTGCCTTATATAATAAATTTTTATCCCTTGAGAATTTCATTTTTCTTATTGAATGCTTTCAATTTCACTTAAATAGATGAATTATTTTATGCTTAAATGATTTCCAATAACATTTTTTTGTTAATCGGACTTTTATTTATTATAACTTCTTAAAGGACTTTCGTTTAATTTTTTTTTATAATAATCTTTTCTGATGATCAAAAATACTACTAAGAATTGTTTAGAGATTAATTTAAAAGAAATTTAGTAATATTTTTTTATTCAGGTGTTCATTCAGTTCGTATTATAAGCATACGTGTCCCAGAGGTTCTACAGTACGGAAGCAAAGACGCCATTACATTAGATTGTGACTACATCACTAACAACGTAACTGGGCTAGTTGTGAAGTGGTTTTACATGGATAGATCACAGCCCGTATACCAATGGATACCACCGCAAAAACCTCAAGCTTTAGGAATTCTAAAAAATAAGGTATTGTAGTACACAAATTCATATAAACATTAATTAACATATCCTCACTTAACAATATACAATGAATTGAAAAATGTATATACGGCAATATAAAAAACAAGTTCGACTTTTATATTTGACTTTATTTTCAGCTTGATCTATCATACAAAGTATCAAAAAATCCGTACACACAACATCGGGCTCTGCGGATTTTGTCTCCTAGCACAGAGCTGACGGGAAACTACACTTGTGTTGTATCAACTTTCCTTTCAGAAGATGAACGTACAAGACCTATGACTATATTTGGTAAGTTCATATCCATGCAGTACAAATTATTCAATGCTTCGAGTATATATTTCATTCAATATATACTACAAGCATTTTTTATAATATTATTTTTATCACAAACACATTCTCAACGAACTTATGAATGGCAGTAGGCTGATAAGAAAAAGTCGTTACAAATCTTATTCTAGCTTTTCTATCTGACTTTAACAAGAGAATATTAAGCAAAATTAAAATGTCCATATTTACATTTACAAGTTACCTGAGTATAGTTTCTAATTATACAGGTTTCAGTGTACACTGTACAATGCTCATAAATAGAACTCTACGGTAATAACTGCGTTCAATACGCTTTAAGCTTAGACATAACGGAAATTACTTCGTGCAACTTTGCCTGGGCACGACATTTGACTGTAACGCTAAAACAAGCGAGAGATTCAAAGTCTGGAAAACAACATTACCTATGTATGTTATTGCAATAATCATTTAATTATTCAACTATTGCTTAAAAACCATTACAAACTTTTTTAGTTATGTAAAATGAAGTATCGTTTGTTAAGTATTCATAATAAAAAGCAATTTAGTAACTGAGGTGAGAGTGGCTATCTTTGAAAATATTAAATAATAATTAAAACATAAAAATATAATATACATCATAAAATCTTTTAATATTTTTTAATCACAGTTTTCTCATAAGTAACATAAATGAAAAATCTGATTGACAATTGCATTTTCTTAAAACTCACACAAAAATTGGTTGAGGTCACAAAAATATAGTAAAGTTTTGAACGCAAACAAAAGAATTTTAATGTATTTAAGTCTTAAAATATATATAATAATCCTTAAATTAGGTTTGCTGCACGACGATAAGTATTTTTAAATATGCAAAAATCTTTTACCTTAAATGCATTTGCTCCCGATTCCTCCAAAGCGGTTCCATAATGTACGATAATCTTTTACGGTATATTGCGTCTTTCAGCTTACTATGAATATATTCAAGAGGACTCAAGGTAACTCTTAATGGCTAATTTATTTAATTAATAAAATAATATAAAATTGTTCCTGTTTGTAAACTCCTATTTAAATTTAAATAATTTTACTAAACGCTGATAATGAAACAAAATTTAGATCGTAAATCTTGGAACTAACGCAAGCAATTCAGTCAGTTATTTTTTGCAAAACAAATAATTTTAGCCTGGAGTGACCTATTGCGTTTTAGTTTTTTTGCATGTGTACGAAATTTAACAAAAAACAAAGTAGAGAAACTAAAGCTAATGAATACAAATGAGAGGTTAACTTAAACGATCGATGCATTTCATTGTGACACTAGATGTTTCTGTAAAAATATCCTAAAATGATGATATTCATTTGTTAAATAACATCTTATATAATTAAAAAACCTCATAAATAAAGTTTCTGTAAATACCCTCTTACTGAAAACTAGATTTGCCCGCGACTTCGTCCGCGTTAATTTCGGTATTAGTAATATATGTATAAAAGAAAGCCCACAAATGGGGCAATACCCAACAACTACAAAACAATAGAAATGTTATAAAAATTAAGAATTAACGTTAACGTGAATAGTTTGGCAGTATTTAACAAATTAACTACAGAAAGAAACTGTTGTCTACTGTTGTATACTATTAGATATTGTCTATCATAACTCTTTTTTTAACGAAAGGAATACTTATTGGCTGTCGATCGTGCCTACATAAACTGCTAAAAGGTACATAGTGATAATGTCGTTTTGGCTAGGAGTTGAGTTCTCCTGTAAGTAAATATGGTTTTTCGCTTATTTGAGGAAAAGTCGAACATTTTCCGGGATGTAAAGTAGCCTACGTATTATTCCTGGACGTCAGCTTCCTGTATAATTTTTTTTATCTAAATCGGTTCAGCCGTTTGAGCGTGAAGAAGTAACAAACACACACACACTCACAAACCTTCGCAATTATAATACATATTAGTAGGATTTAAAACGTAAATATTACATTCTTTCAAGCCAAGAATTTTAGTTTATTATTAATTTGATTTCAAACTTTTTAACAAAAAACAATTATATGTATTAAACATTTTATTTTAAGATTTACAATATTAATCAATATACTAATCGTAATAGATTCCGTAAATAAAAGTCTACGTTTAACTTGTAGGCATTACAAAAGGCCCAAACGGTACTTCGCGGTTCCTAAAATATATTTTGTACCAATATTGCAATAATTTAATGACAGACATTTTAACCTCTAAACAAAACCTAATAATAATAATAATTTATTAAAAGCATTTAATGCTACTTCTTTACGTACAAGAATTAAAAATAAATATATCGGATTTAATAGAAATTAGTAGTTTTAAAAAAAACAGACGCCAGCCTCGCCGATGTCACCAATGTCACTTGTTTCAGTACGTTCCATGATATTTTAAAATGAAACTTCAATTGTTCTAAATTTTCTTGTATTTCTCGAAGGCTCTTCATAATCACATTCTTTAACGGTCCGCACTCAATGAACTCTGCTATCGTGCGTCCAGAGAACATATTAATACCAAAATTCAAAAATAGTTCTATTCTCTTTTTAAACAGTCTTTGATTTCGTTTTACTTTTAACAATAATAATTTATATTAATATATAAATTTAACTAACTAACGAACAGCAATTAATTTTTATATAATTATAAAAATTAATTGCTGTTCGTTAGTATCACTAAAACTCGAGAACGGCTGAACGGATTTATCTTATCTTAGTCTTGAAATGTTCTTGGAGGTCCAGGTAAAAAAATTGTTTCATTTCCGGGAAAACGAAAAAGACACGTTAAAAAACGAAACATTGTTTCCATAAAAAAATGTTCATTTATTGTTTTATCTGTACACCATTTTTAACCAACCAACCACAATACATTTTTAAAAGGCTATACAAACTCCATATCACAAAATCATAAGTTGAGATTTTTTTACTCACTATTATAAACCTTTAAATCTTCTCGTAAAAATTTCTTATTTTCAAATAAATTGAAACAAAAAACTCGTTTTTATTATCACTAGAAATATTACGAAGGATGTTTAATTCTGCATAACGCTTGCGTTTATTTGCGAGGCAAAGAAATTTTTCCGGTTTTCGGTTAGCTTCTTCATTACCTAGCGATGCATGAGCAATTAATCGATTCATTCATTACCGCATAACATACATAAGTATTTCGGTTTTGTATTGAAAATTTATACTTTAATAAAATTATACTCGTAGTTGTGTTAGTAACTTATCATCAAAATACGTATGGGTGTTTTTTTTTAGTTCCAGAAACAAAATTCGATATGATTCAAGATCGGCTGAGTGATGGATATTTGAACATTATATGTTCTGTTGAAGGAGTGTTTCCACGACCAGAGCTAGTTATATTAGCGGGTAATAGGTAAGATTTTATATTATAATTTTATAACCTTCGTAATATTTTCTGTGCTTCATATCACAATTCCATTTACCCTTCGAAATATCTTGACTACAACAAGTTTTACTATATTTAGTTTAAGAGTTAATTTTTTAAAGTTTATCCAGAAGTTATGTTTTATGAGTAATCATACCTTTAACAATAATTGCGAGATAACAATTTGACAACATTTGATAAACCTTGACTAAATTAAAACTCTTTCAACAAAACAACGATGTGTTTGGTATGTCAAGTAATATGTAACAAGGTACAGATATAACCTTTTACGAGGTAAAATTCTGTCATACATTTAGCAGTAAACAAAATATTAACATGTTTTAAAGATAATGAGATGTAAGATTTTCGCGAGTACTCATTTAAATGAAACTAATATTTTCGGATTTTACTTCGTGTTTTTTATTTTTGATTACAAACTACATACTCCTGATGTTTCGGCTACTTTTCAGCAACCATGATCACGGGCAGACGAGATGCGTGTGTCTGACAGACAAACGCGAAGTAAAATCCGAAAATATTAGTTTCATTTAAATGTTTTAAAGATTTTAAAGAGGAAAACAAACTAAAACCCTTATCAACAAGCCAGACTCTGCTTCTGTCGGTAAACGTTGAAAAATTATTATATCGTATGTAAGCAAATTTAATAAACTATTATGAGTTGTAATTAAAATCTGCCAACATTTACTGATGAATTACTATCAATTTATAATTAAAACATTCGGTAGACATTCGGTATACAGGTTAAAAATGTAAGTGTTCACTATTGATAAATTAAATATTTAATTTTTGTCAAATATGTCACGTTCATACAAATAGTTTTTTTTTCTCTATTCAACTAGTTTTTAGTCAATAACGAAAATTTTTGATGTTTGCCTTTCATAACCACCTAGAGGGTTTTCGAACAGAAAAAACAAAAATTGTCTTAAATTTTAAATTGATCAAAAAGATAATATTATACTGTGTCTAAAAATCACATACTATTTGTATTGGATAATTTAATAACTCCTGTCAAAATTCGATAGCGACATCATTGTGCACCGTCATTGCTCATATTATTAATCTTTCTGTATTATTTTATGTCTACCGACACAGTTTCTTTTTTGTTATTCACTCTCTTAAGATTACGCCCTTCAAGTGAATGTACTGACCTCAAGCTGTAATGATTGCATAATAGTTTCTTTACCATTTTTAACTACTTTATATAGGTATATGACCGACATAGATAAAATTCTCCTACAATAATATTAGCCATGTTTTATTTCTAGAACTAAGCCTTTCTTATATAAACCGATAAATAATACCTTTATTCGCATATTACATAATTACATAAATTCAAATAAATCACTGTCACTCCTGAGATTTTTCTCCTTACCCGTGAAGCAATGAGAAACGAAATACAACCTCGTCAGGAATCTGAAAACGGCAAAATTCAAATCAGTTTTAAAATTTATGAATTTGAGAGAACGATTTTGTTAAAGAATTTTGTGTATACGAATATAGTTCTCTGATTTTAAATAAAATGAAATGGTAGTTCGTACACAAAATGCTTCAAGAGATATCTCGTCTTATAAAAATATATAGGCTATAAAAAATATAGGTATGTACATATATAGAGGGCTTTCGTAAGTTAATGTTATTATTTCTTTGTTTTGGTCAATTGAGTCAAAATTTTGTTTTATCAAAAGCGTCATCTAAAAACTAATAAAATAGCCTTCATCTCAGTACATATCATTCTACTTATTGAACATAAATGTGGTAGAATAAAATCTAAGTGCATATTTTAAGATCTCATTTCATTTAAATTACCAAGTATTTGCTATAATAATAAACGTTGACACAAAAACATGTACATTTATAATTGAAATTTATGCTGGGTTGTAAGGTTTTGGGGTAAATTTACTAATATTTGAATTTAAAACAACCTAATTACACAACAATAATAACTAATTAATAGTTTAAACAAAAACCACTAATGTGTATTTTGGTCAGTTATTGCTCTCTGGCTACTAATAACACGATATAAACCCTGTAAGTATAAATAAATCTTTTGCATACTTATCATATCTATAATTAATTTCGCAAACAATAATATTTCATATAAAAGTAATGCTGATATTTTTCTACTTTCAACAAATATAATTTCCAATAATGTTAAATACTAAGTATAAATACATTTTCCATTATTTTATTCTTGTTAACTTGGAGTAAATATTTTTAAACGTAATTGCGTTTAAAAATATATGATTAAAGTGTGTATTTCATAATTTACTTCTTCTAAAGTGCTATACGTAGATAACAGTTATCTATTAATAAAAAACTTTCTATCCGAAATCGTTTATTGGTAATATCATATTGTACTCATAAACGCCTTTCATCTGAAAATCATACTAGTTAAAATAATACTTATCGACTAACAAATGATTGTTGCTTCCTAAATAAGATTGGAATTTTTAATTGCTTTGAATATTTTAGTTGAAACAGTGTTCAAAATGTATATTGTAAAAAATCTCATACATGATATGAATAAATCAAGATGTATATTATTTAATATAACTATTGACGTGAACATTGGTAATATGTACAATATTTCGATTTGTATTTTCAGTACTTGGAAATTCTGAACTAAATAATTCAAATTCTTCACAAGAGTTCACTAACAACCAAACTATCTGTTCGCCGGTATTATACGCTTCTGGATTAAGTTACATATTCGTAAATATTTGGAAAAAAAAAACGAATCGCTACTGTAAATTTGTTTATAGTTAAAGAAGTATAAATGACACTTAATACCTTACAGTCCTAAAATATATAGGGAAATGTTTGAGAGTCCAATTATAAAAAGAATATCTACTACAAAAGTTATCTGTTAATAAATTAATATTAAATTAAACAATTAATACAATAAACATTTGTATATATTTACATACTATGTCGTTTAGCACTTTGTCGCGTGTAAGGCTACCTGACTGTAATGGCTCGTAGGCAAGCTGGCGGTGCTCCGGTACTCGCAGCAACTAGAGCATCGTTGCTTATTCGCGTTGGTTGTGGATCGTGGTGTGTTCTTTGATAATATTTAGGTTTGGTTGAACTTTGCTTTAAACCACCAGTCTATATAAAATTATATTATTTTATTTTCTTATACTTATATTTATGTAATTAGTATGAAATTATATATATAATATATATTTAAATATCTCCTCTATTTTAATTCTTATAATTATATCACATATTTCACTTCCTGCGACGCGACTTTTTAGTTTTTGGCGGCCACAGAATATCAGCGTTGAAACTCATTACTAGTATGATTTTCAACATATATGCTGAGTGGCTTACCAATTTGGGCATCACAAATTGTTTTGTTTAATTTTCATCTTTATTTTTGTTTATATTCTCTATCTTCATATGTTTGGTTTTATATATATACGTTCTTATATTGTTTGCATAAAATGTGTGTCCAAATAAAGATTTTTTGATTTGATTTGATTTGAGTATTGACAAAACTTATTAAATATTAATAAATCAATCAATTATATCAATAACATGACATTTGGTATTTCAAAATTGATGAAAGAATCGTATTTTTTTATAAAAAAATTCATTTCCAGACTATTAAATTCAAAGTCCTCTATCAAAATCATAGAAGGACGCTACACAGCATTGACAAGTGCAGTTATCAGGATCGACTCTTTGCCACCTACTGTTGAAATTCTCTGTGACATGCAAGTTCCACTCGCTAACTACTTCAGCAGAAAGAGGGATATATTTTTTAGAGGTAAAATTTACTTCCATGTGTTTATGGATTTCCTATGGTTTGTGATTTGTCAACCGAAATTTTAGAAATTTAGCAATGTAGTTTATGTGAGAGGAGGAATATGGTGTAAGTATTCAAGTAAAGCACTACTAAGATATTTTATTACTAGCGAACAGATAATACGACTAAAATCTTGTTGCTTCCAATTTATGTTTTCATAATTGTTTAACCTCAAATATTTGTAAGCGTTAACTAAAAGTATGTATCACTGAAAAATTATGTCTTCTTTTTTCTCATTAATAAACAAAGTCAAGTTTTTTCTCCTTATAACTATCCAGAAGAAATAACTAATTTTGTTAATATAATGATAATAAAATAATACCGCATTTAATTTCAACGTTGAAAATTGACATAGTCTGACGTTTGTGTTACAATCCGCACCACACTATGGCTGAATTTACAAAGAAATTTTATAACAGAAATATTAACGGTGCAAAATATTAAGCTGAAATAAAAATCGTAAAAGCATACCTTTTTATGTAGTGTCTTTTTAAGGATTATCCGTTATAAAAATTTGGCTCATAAATCGTCAATAACAAAATTATTTTCTCGTACAAATTTTATTCACATACTTTAATGAATCTTCATTATGACTTTTTACTATAAATAATGCACTATGTAGTTCATGAAATATATTATGAAAAATGAGAAACATTGCAAAAATAATTATTCTCTACTTAAACCGAATTAAACAAAAATACTGAAATTATTATCTATAACAATGTTAAACGATCACCACGGCTACTATAAAAGACCAATAAAAAATTTATATCTGATTTATGAAAGTTTAAATGAGCATAATAAATAAATATTTTCATTTAAAAGCTCATTTACTTTGATTGAAATTATTATTTGTTTTTTGCAGTTAAAAACAAACGCCCTATTTTATCTTGCTGTTGAATATGATATAATATGTACATGTATTAAAATTATTTTATAAACTCACTTTTTCCAAAATGACTTACTTTAAACAAATATTCTTTTTAAATTAAATACGATACCTATGAAACCAATGCAGTAGTATGTGTATTGTATATTTATTACAATTATTAGATTCTGGTCGTTGTATCGTCGTTTATAAATTTTAGGACTATTTGTTATCTTTTACATGTTATATTTTAAAAATTCCATGAGGGCCAATCCTTTTAAATATACCCTTAACGATTTTCAAATATTAAAAATACTAAGGTCATTCCCAATATATCATAATAAACTAAAATTTTCAAACTTTACGTCAAAGCAAAACCACTTAAAAAGATATTATACCGCGCCTCTCCGTGTCGTTGAAAACAAAAACTTTGTATTTATTCAAATTGATAGAATTATTTAATTGTTAAATTCATGTACTTACATTTTGAACTGCGTTTATATTCTCTATTTTATTAGTTTATTCATGATCTTTTGAATATTAGATTCCCTTCTAAACCGTAGAGAAATGAAATATAAACGATTTCAAGCAAAATAAATAACATAATACTTTTGATGAAAACTATCCATAATTTAGGATAAGCTTCAGGATATTTATGGTGATATATAAAAATATATAATTTATGTATAATAGTAGTATTACTTTCAAGAAAAATATTTTTAATATATTTTTTTTCATTCTCATAAATCATAATGACGTAAATTCACAGGTTAAAGTGAATTTGATGGCATTGATAACATTGTAATAAAAGTCAAGTATATAATAAAAATATATAAAGAGTGTATGACTACAATTCTTGCATTATCTTATATAATATGAAATATAAAATATATACACGTATATAAGTATGAAATATTTCATATTCATCTGGTTCTTGAATGTTAAAACTAAATATTAATTTAAGCTTTTCACTACAGATCCGACCATAAATACAATTGAGCACATCCATTCGTTGAGTCCTCATTCGGGAAACGACAAAGGTAAAATATAAAATATAAAAATGACAGAAATATTCATCACAATACATATTTCTTATCATATGTTCTTTTTATAAGAATTTTTCTTATTATAGTTTTTTGGTATCAATTTCTTAAAACCATAACAAAATATGGAGACCGAGGAGACCCTATTATTCCTTTTTCTATCTGTATTTATATATGTATTTAAAAAATTCTAAACCATCACTTGTGTATACATCCACCCACCATTGTCTGCCATTTTTATCATATTAAAGCAATTTGACGTACTTAATGGATATCTAATTTGTTTGCAGGTCCCACGACAGAAGTTGCGCCTGTCACGTTAATTGTATGTTTAACACTATATTATTGTTTTAAAATAACGTAAATTGAAAGTGTTATAGCATCTAGATTATTTCATTAAGTTCACACTAATATATATGCATATAAAGTAATTTAAAAAATTTGCAATAGAATTAATTTTAATTTAATTAAGAAAATCATATAATTAGTTCTGTACATTTATGAAATTGATTGAAAACACCAAAGACCGTATAGAAAATTATGTAGTTGTATATTATACTGATAAAATTAAAACATTGTTTCTTATTTGTTCATGATTTTTCCAAAGACTTGTTTATTTCTAGTCCTGATTAAAGAACAAAAAACGTATTGCCTTTTATTTTACTCTTTATAAATTAATAATTTTATTGTCATTATATGTAGATAAAAGAAACATTAGTAATTTTAGTTGCTTGTTTGTGTTATAAAAAAAAATTACTCAGAATTTACTACCTCTCTTTAATTACTTGTATACTTAAACATTGAACTGTAAATGTATAAACAATAAATATATATCCTTAAACAAGTTTTATCTTCTACTCTTACCGGTCTTTATTAGAAATTAATACAATCATTTCCTTTAATAACCTTCCTTATCTTTTTTACAAAACAATGTTGGATTTATTACATTTTTAATTATAATAACACTATAACTCTATGTTATTTTCATGAAATATATTTATGTTAACAGGAAATATTATTTAGCAGAAATCATTCAGACTTTTGTCTTAGATTTTCTTTCGTCTACTAAAAGTGAATCTTCAAATACCTCAATGGATATCCGTGGACTATTTCTGTATGTGCATAAAGATTTGCATAACGAGTAACACAAAACATCTTAAGGTGTAGAAATGACAAAAAACAAGAAAATAAGACTAGGTATATGACGATAGTTTTTTTATAGACAAAGTAGTATTCATGAAAAATAAATCGAATATCATCTAATTCTAATAAATACGCTACTGGAGTAATTAGGACTTTATTCTTTTGGTGCTGTAAACAATTTTTTCATATTAATATAATTATATAAAAAATTCATAATTGTGATACAATAGTTCAGTAATTTTCTATTAATTTCCACGTCATACGTATTAAATAAAAAACTTTGTCTGACAAAAGAATTGTCTGATAAAAATAAAATATATTCATGTAATTTTCTCCCATAACATGGGATTTAAAATTATGAAATTTTAATTAGAAGTATAATTAATTTCATAAAAATGCTACTTACTAGAAGATTGGAATTTAATTAATTTCAAGTCCATTCTTTCTAGGACTTTACATAATAGCATATTTTTCTCAATACCTTTTTAATAACAAAGTAAAGCTAATTGCGATTTAAGTTTATTACAAGTAAATTTAAAAAAAATTAACGTATATAGATATAAGTTGATTTTTATGTTATATGTGTGACAAAAATAAGTAAATTAAATACTTCATACATTTTTAAAATCAGGTCATTTAAATTACTCTTTTAAAACTTAAGATCTTATTGTTCGGGTCACATCGTTATTTCTTTATAGTATAGTTAAATCAATTAATTAAATAAACTTGCTTTAATGAAACTATACCAACACTATCTTCATATATGGTTAAATAAAAATCATTTTTATCACTACGCTTATTTAAATCAATTTGCTATTTTTGTTTATTTTGCTATTTGGTTGATTTTGCTCAACTTTAAGGACTTAGAAGTTATACATAAATAAACTATGCCAATTTTTAATATTGCTTCTTATGAAGAGAAGATAGAAATTGTACCGAGTAACAAAAAATATTTGTTAGACGAAGATGATACTTTCCAGTTTAAAATGTCTTACAACTGAATCGACGTCCCATCAACCATTAAAGATAAACCAATAAATAAACCAATAAACCAATAAATGTTGTAAGGAAAAATGGGAATTTTTTTATTTAAATTGTCTTAACATCTTTGATATTTCCATTATTAGTAGGATTTTTTTGGTAATCTATAAATTACACATACGGATATTTTATTATTATATAAGTTTGTATTAGTATTCGTTTATGACATCCACAAATCATTTATATAATGAATTTTTAATTTTCTTTTTAATATAGAATATTAATAAATCTTACATTTTAATCACTGTTGGCATTCAGATCGAAAAATTGAAGGTAATGTTGTGAAATAAATTGAAATGCTATTATTGATAGCTTTTATTTTCTTACTATTTACATAAAAAACTATGAATTAAAATATTTGTGAACAAAAAATAATTATTAACAACAAAAGTACAGGTTTCATATAAAAACGCAAAGACATAGCTAAAAACATTCATAAAAAAACTATTGGCTATGACTCACTTGTATGCATATTTAAAATTTAATTTGTATTAAATTATAATAATAATTGTATAACTTTTAAAGTGTCCAATTTGTTTTCATAATTATGAAAAGTAAGTAAATATTAGTTTTTCATTAAAAGGTTTATTGATTTGATTTAATAAACTTAAAAAAAACACCGGTATATCTTTTACAAGCTTTGTAAAATAATAGTCGATTTATCTGGGAACTAGACGTCACTACATGTTTCACTAAAATCGGCATCAGTGACAATACATTGCTGGCCGCTTCCCACGCATTACAATGACTGCTATTTTTGCAAACAACATCGAATCTCATCGTTCCGATCTCAATACAATCGTGTGCATTTGGAAACTAGACTGCACCTGCTACTCCCGTCAATAGCTACAGTTCAATTTTGAAAAAACATACTGAAAATTTTTCAATCAATAATGAAATGCTGTTAAATCATTTTTGTTTTAATATTAATGAAGCCTTTTTTTAAGGGGAAAATCATCAAATGACCCCTCTTGTCCTGGGTGGGGCAAGAGGGAGTGTCAGACTCTTACTGAC